CGATAAGCAATGTCCACAGAAGCCCTCTGATAAGTCAAAAGTGCTGTAAAGGCATAAGGCACCTGCCAACATCTGGCAGGAATGTGGAAATCCAGCTGTGCTCAGCCTCCAGCACAGACCCGAGAAAGGGAGTCAGCAATTGGAAATTAACTGTTCAATAGCTGACAAGGGGCAAAGTGGGGTAGATGAGTCCAAGATCGTGGGCTGACATGTGACTAACAAAGCAGATTTTCTAGTGGAAGCATGGGAAACAGGAGTCCCAGACCTATTCGGAGGAAGCCTGGGAGGCTGGGCTGAGGAAGAAAGAAATCAGGCAGGTCCAGCAGCTGAATGTTCAACCACAGCCCGATTTTGGTGGCTTTCAGAGTCACAGACTTAGAGGCCGTTAGAATTGGAAGGGACTCCAGAACACTTAGTGCCTCAGTTTCCTTCTCTGTAAAATAAAGAGGCTGGACTCATCGATCTTCTAGCTCAAACAGCCTGGTTCATACCCCTAGCACTGATCTCCCCCACTCCCCCAGCTTGGTCCTTTGGCGGGACAGGGTAGGAGGGCTGCTACCCCCACGAAGAGAGAATCCAATCATAAGCCAGGCCAAGCCCAGCTTTGGCAGGCAAACACTAGCCAAGGTTCTGCTACTGCCTCTGCCTCGGAGGGTTTCAGGGTTGGGTTCTCATCTCTCTCAGCAACTGTCTCTTGGTGCCTGTCTTTCCCTGACTGTCTCCTCAGGCTCTGTTCAGGCTCATTCTTCCCTCCCTGAGTATCTCTCCTGTGACCATCTCTGTCTTCGGTGGAACTGGGTCAGCTTCTCTCGGACAGATTTTCTGTTTGCACCCCCCCCCCCATTCTGCAGCTCTGTCTCTGTCTCTAAGCCACCATCTCCCTGCTCTGTCTCTCCCTGCACTCCTAGAGTCTCTGGGGCAGTCACCCCATCTCTGCCTTGCTGTCTGTCCTTGTCTCCATCTCTATCACTGCTTCTGCCCTCCTCTCCACCTGTTCCTGTGTCCATCTGTCACCCTCAGTGTTCCTCTCTGTCTCAGTGTCTTCCTCTTCTCTCTCTACCTTCTTGTCTGTCTGTGTGTCTCCTCCCTGTCTCTCTTCTTTCTGTCTCTGTCAATCTCTCCCTCTGTCACCTTCCCTCAGTCGATCTCCCTGTCTCTCTCCCCATCTCTCCACTATTCTCTCTATCTCTATACTCGGATTGTCCCCCTCCAGTCTCTTGAGCTTCACCCCCATCCCTTCCCCTCCTGGGGTCCCCAGGGTCTGGCGCCATCTCTCGGTCTCCCATCTTGCCCACGAGCGTAGCTGCCCCGGCCCCTCTTCCTAGAGCTCTCTCTTCAGCTCTGCTTCTCTCCACATCTCTCCCTTTCTCCACATGGCTCTGTTCACCTAAGTGTCTGTCTCTGTCTGTCTTTTATGTCAGCCCCTGCTTGTCTGTCTCCACCTCCCCATCGATGTCTCTATCTCTCAGTCTCCCAGGCTCGATCCCAGCGCCTGCCTCTCTGACTTCATCCCTGCTTTCTCATCAGCAGTTATCTCTATCATCTCCGTCTACCAATGTCTCTGTTTCCATATCTCAGTTTGGTCCCTTCTCTATCTCCTTGTCAATGTTTCTGTCTCTCAGCCTCTGTCTGTCTCTTTGTCCCTGTGACGTCTCTGTCTCTGTGATGTCTCTGTCTCTGTCCCTGTGACGTCTTTGTCTCTCTGTCCCTGTGACGTCTCTGTCTCTCTGTCCCTGTGACATCTCTGTCTCTGTGACGTCTCTGTCT